TTCTTTCTTTCTTTCTTTCTTTCTTTCTTTCTTTCTTTCTTTCTTTCATCTATCCTTCTCTCTTTTGTTTGAGCATTATTTTGAAACTTTGAAGCATAATTAAGTTCAGGTTTTAAAACAGTGCAGACACAAAAAAGAAAGTTTTATCAATCAATGCCTCTGGACAAAACTTATTTAGGGAACTGCTGAAATATTCATTCATTTAGCTGGTTTATTCTGTTGTGAAAAAAAAAAAATCTGAAATATGTTTATTTATTTACCAGTTGGACTTTTTATGACATGCTTTTCTCATTATTTACACTTTTTTCATATAAGTGTAAATTAATTATTTAATTAAGAGACAATACAAATCCAATTTTCTCTTTTCTGTTTTCTGGTCTTTTACCAGACTTCAACAACACATCATCAAAGGTTGGGGAAATTTGCATGTTTTTATCAGGCAGTCAGTTTGACATGTTTCATTCAACCTGCACACAATATCCATGCACTGTCTTGCATGTGTAAGGGGTCTTTTTAACTGACCCCACAGTAAATGTAGCTTGACTGAAGTGTACATGTTACCAAGCTCGCTTGAATGTCACCCAGTCATAAAATGTTCACGACTATACACCATTTTAACCTTATTTAGGGTCTTAAGGATGGCTTTAATATGATCATTCTATATTGAAATTCCATTTCCTTCAGCTCTTCGTGCCCAAATATTGGCTAATGTTCATATATAATTTGCAAAAATATAATTTAATTGAATGAATATTACTTTGAGTTTTCTGTCCTGAAGCTTTTATCATCCCTCGTCAACATGAATGTTTCCCTTTGTATTTTGTTTGTACAATGTTGGGTTTGAATTTTAGACAGGTGATAGGTGATAAATAATTCCTTCAATTCCTTCAATGTGATTTATTAAAGGGTGAATTGTGGAGTTGGATTGTTCAATAGGTAAAAAAGATAGTTTTGTGTCAAATCTGTAATTTTATCTAACAATGGCTCGGCTGGATGGTAAGCAGTGTGTTGACATATAGCAAAGGATCACATAAATGTGAAATAGTGCTTTACAGGTTATATTCCAAACACAATTCTTGTTCATTTGTAGGATGCAGATGCATAATGACTTCAAATAGACATATTAAAAGACAGCAATATAACAGATATGCACTGAATATACTTCAAAGTTGCTATTTGTCACAAATTATTTTCATGAATTGTGTGTTTTGCATGCCTTTCAGAGATATGGATATGATGGCTTTATCCAGCTTCAACATCACTGCAAAGTAAGTCACTAATGGATTTATTTTTCTGCCCTATACACTGCTACAGGAAGAAGGTATGCTGCATACATTACTCAGCACACAGCAGGCTTATCCTAGCAGCACTCCACCCTGTGAACCTATCAGGCTGGTCCTACTTGTGAGCAGCTGTAGAACCCAGTGTGATACTCCTGCATCAGTGGATTGATTTACTTTAAACACTGTCATAGCACAGGTAAACACAGTGCAGTCTGGCCAACGTATACCCAATGGAACCTGTAGCATTATCCTTCTGCTTAATTTGAGAGGATGAAGTCAATTGTACAATAGTGTTGCATACAATTAAATAGGCAGAGACTGGTAATGATATTTTTGCAGATTCACCATGATAAGAGTATTTTCATTAGGAATCTATTCTCTGCTGCCATCATGTGGTTACATCTGAAGATATAAGCAAACATCAAACACTACGTGAAATTATATATCCAAAGGAAACCATAACTGTCATCCATCGATATGTCAAAGAAACCCGATGCTTGTCATGGCTGTGAATGGTGTTGGTGTTTCTGCTGCAGGGAGAAGCCAAGATGATGAAGAATGGGAAGTTGTTCCGGGTGATACAAGAAAACTGCTGGGATGCAAATGCACGCATACGGGACATGGATCAACATGGTGTGTGAACAGAATAAGTGACAAAAACTTTGTAAGGTCATCATACTAATGCCTAAACATTAAGTTTCCATCTGTTTACAGGAGTCACAGTTCAGGCCCTCTCAACTGTTCCTGTGATGTTCAGTTATTGGGTCAGTGCTCACTCAATCAGAAGTAATGTGATTTTGAAATGGTGGATATAACATTTTATTGCTGTATGTTTGAGACATGGAAGCACCACTGAGTTTTACCTCATAATGTAGTGTGTCTTTCAGTGTAGAAAAAGAGAGCACACCCACTGTTAATTTTTAATTGTCTATGTATGTTGACACTTAGATGTATGTATATGTATAGTTATGTATAGCTTAAAACAGAGGAGTAGTTCTGTGTCCTGTTTGTGCCAGTCCCAAGCCCAGATAAATTGAAGGGTTGCCAAGGAAGGGCATCCAGAATTAAAAATCCTCCCAAACTTACCTGGTGAGTCAAGGTTGACAGGATGTGGTGACCCCTGATGGAACATGAGAAACAACATCTGTCACTTACATCATTGTTGAGGAATTGTGGCCCACTTTTGGGTTCATCAGGATTTGGGGATTTGTTCATGCACAGATCTATCCAGGTCCCACCACAACATTTCAGTCATGCTGAAATTTGTACTTTGATAGGATCAATGCAGCACCTTGTTTCTTTTCTTCGTCAGACATCGTTAGAGATTTGCTGCCGTCTTGTTGCAAGTGTTCATTGTCAATACAATGACTGAAAGGTGCCCGGTCCTGTGGCTGCAAAATAAGCCTAAATAATCTCCCCTACCTGATGGTGCTTGACAGTTGGTATGAAGTATTTGTGCTGAAGTGCTATGTTTTGTTTGTCACATAACATGGTACTGTGCATTATGATGTAACTTCTCCGCTTTAGTCTGGTCTATCTTGTTATTCTAATTGGCTTTTTCTTTAAATAACTTATTTCTACATATGTAAAACTTTACACATTGAAAGTACTTGTACTCTCTTGATCTCATCTTACATGTAAAGGTATTTATAATTCTTATTCTATACAGCAGTACTAACAGTTTAATTTTATTTTCACAATTTGATGTAATTTTGTAATTCCAGGCTAAACCACATGACACCCTGGATCTCTGTGTCCTTCTGAATGACAATTTGGCGCATACAGTATACAGCCACCCTAAGAGATTTGTGGGCTTGGGTACTTTGCCAATGCAAGCCCCTGACTTGGCCATCCTAGAGATGAGGCGCTGTGTGAAGGAGTTGGGCTTTCCTGGAGTGCAGATTGGGTCGCATATCAACAACTGGGACCTCAATGCCCTTGAACTCTACCCTTTTTATGCAGTGAGACGTTGCACAGTGTCACTACACACAACCATGACTATGTTATCATCTTTATAATTGTAAAAGTTAATTATTTTGATCCAATATATAATTTAGATTTATTAATTTACCACAACATTATTTTGTATGAATCACCATCCATTTTATCAAATGAAAAACACTACTATGTGTCTTCCATGCAGGAAGCAGAGGAGTTGGGATGCTCCATTTTTGTCCACCCATGGGACATGCAGACAGATGGGAGAATGGCTAAGTATTGGCTACCATGGCTGGTAGGTGAGTGAGCTGAAGCTGGAACAAAAAACATTTATCTTATCTACAAAACAAGCGAACCCAGTAGCAACACTGCAATACTTCCTATTTTTGATAAAGTTATCCTATCACAATCTATGCAATCTATGTTTTTCGTATTTTAGTTTTACTGTGTTTGACATAATCTCGGTGTGCCTTAACCCTATAAAGCCTGATCCAAGAAAAAATAGAGAAAAAACTCATCTAAAAAACTAAGCTCATAATAGAACACATAAAAACACTAAATGTAAAAAGTGAGACACACATTTCATGAAAAATGGGCAAAGCATATTGGGTGTTTTGCATAAAGTATTGGTTTATGAGATTTGCAAATAATTGGATTGTGCTCTTTAAAATTAATATGGCAACACATTTTTGTTATATGTTGATCAATCTGTACACTCTTATGATTAAAAAAGTAAAGGGAAAGATTTATAAAAATTATTTTCTATCCTAAAGGCATGCCATCAGAGACAACTTTGGCAATTTGCTCTATGATATTTGGAGGCATCTTTGAGAAATTTCCCAAACTTAAAGTCTGTTTTGCACATGGAGGTAAAGAACCCATATCTCAGTCTTAAAAAGTCACAAAAACTGTTTTTCTTAGTATTCCTACTCTTACTGTTCAATCACCTATGCCCTTGTTCTTCTGGTTGCAGGTGGATCTTTCCCCTTCACCGTTGGGAGAATTGATCATGGCCACAAAGTCCGCCCTGACCTGTGTGCAGTTGATAATAAGATCAGTCCAAGGAAGTACCTTGGTTCTTTCTATACCGACTCATTAGTTCATGATCCCATCTCACTGCAGCTGCTCATTGATGTTATTGGAAAAGTGAGCCTATGCTAATAATCTAATCAACGTGTAAATTATGTTTTGAGATATTTTGAGAAAGTCCGTAAACACAGGTTATACTGAAGGAGCATTGGTATTTATGGAGAATATGCAAGACAAAAAATGACAATTCGCCAATTCCAACACCTGTGTACTTGGGTCCATTCAAGTAGCACCTGACCATTCTGAGTCAGGAAAAATTAACTGCAATTAGCTGTTCATATGTATGTATTCTTCTTCTAGGATAAAGTAATGCTGGGAACAGATTACCCATTTCCACTGGGTGAGCTGCTGCCTGGATCACAAATTGAGTCAATGGATTACTTTGATGATACACTGAAGGTAGTATCAGTTTAATCTCCTTCATTAAATGTTCCAGTTTCCTAGAGTTAAGTAAAGAACTGTCCTTTAAAGAATGTTCAGAGCTGTTCCTAACATTTCAAATCCACAAAAATGGGTAAATACCTTTAGTTCGGCCTGTTTTAAAAATAATAAATGATTATGTCTGTATTCTTAAAGTTATGCTATCATTTGTCTTGCAGGAGCAACTGCTCTCTGGAAATGCTTTGGAATTTTTGGGACTGAAAAAAGAGCAATTTTTGTAACCTCATTATGGACCATGAATGCCATATCAACAACCATATGCTTTATGTTTGGAATTTTTAGAAATTACTTTGGATTATCCTTATGAGTAGACCGAACGAGTGTTGCTGTACAAACAGTTATGTCGCCAATTGGTATTGGTCCAATATTATTTGCTCAATAAAAAAGGTTGTATGCTGATTTTGTGTGGCAATTTATCCATTACTCTAATCACACCAGCAAATATGTTAAATTGCAATTACTGCATTGTAAATGTAATGTCTTTCAATTTCTGTAGGGTTTCAACTGTTATTTACCTTATACTTGTTAGTGATTATATTCACTGCTACTGCAGTAGGTACTTCAGTGTTAAATAAACCAAGCAAACTTTACAAAACATTTATTAACATGACAATAACTTGTATGAACAAATTAGTCTTGGACATCCTACGAAACAACAGAATATTATATATCGATATATTTCCTATTCAAGAACTTTGTTTGTACTTGAGGTGAAAGAAATTACCTTTAACTTAAAAGAGCAACAAATAACTCTGAACTCTGTGTTACAGGTAAATCATTTCTTTCAGTCTAATTTAGAACAACATATTTAGGATTTCTCCAGTCGCCTTAGTAAAAAAAATCCTTTGATACATTTTTGACAAGCATGGAGAGGAACTAATGAGGTGTTTGACACTGAGCTAGAAAAGTAGCAAGTCTAACACTACATACTAAATATAAAATAGCTTTGAAGACATTGCACTGCAATATTCCTAAAATCACAAGTTAATAACCCTCTAGGTTTTTCCACTTGGTAAGTTAATTATTGTCTGAGTAGAGGGATCGCAAATACGTTTATTCATGCCGACTGTTTAAAATAAATTAACATTAATGACACTTTTTTTTTTCTTTTTTTTTTACAGTTGTGGATATATTAACAGTAGTATGGTAAATCATATACAAATACTTCCAAATCATATCAAACATTGAAACTTTCCAAACACATTTTATACACCGTTGAAAAAGTCCTATTTCCCTATGCGACATTACGTCAGATCCGCTTACTCGATGCCGAGTTGAACGCCGCAGAGTAATGGCGGTGAGCCGGGGGTCTTCGTCGAAATGGTTTTTCACCCGGGACCAACTCGAAAATACGCCGTCCCGCCGATGTGGAGTCGAACCAGACCGGGAACTCTCCTACCGACAGCAAGCAGCAAATCTGATTCAAGACATGGGCCAGAGGCTCAACGTGTATCCTTTGTAAACAAACTGATTCTTGACCAAGTTGAAGTCGGACATGGCGCTAGCTAACTGTAATCTTGGGCCTGTTAGCTCATTCAGAGCCAAACGCCGTGTTTTGGTAGCTTTAAAGTTTTATTATTACATTGTTTTGCTTAACGATAACACATTTTCTGTTGTAATTGTACGATTTAGAGCATGAATCTTTGTTTTTAGGTTTTTATCTTGGACTGTGTACATAAATTCATCTCGCTAGATAATTTAGCTTTAGCGTCAGAAAGGCCTCCAGGCGGGTTTGCAATTTATACTGGATTAAGTTGTAGAACTATAAGCGGAGTGATTTTCTCAGTTAATAATTAGACTAATATATATATATATATATATACACACACAAATTTTTTACTGTGCTTGCTGTTGTAGCATAATCAGATATTTTTTGTACATGTGGACAGCCACGTATTTTGGTACCTGTGGTTCACTTGTCAGCTTCCTCACCGATTCTTTCTGCACATGTTACATGTTAATGTTGTTCAGCGTTCATTGGCACGTGATTTAGTATTACGTAATAACTTGCCATCACCTGATGTATTCCCTACTAGGTATTTTATAATTTTTCCGACTTTGCAAGACAAACCTTGACAATACTTTCAGCTCTCAATTAACAATAAATACCGCAATTGTTTACATGCATAGATTTTATATGCACAATTCTTTCACCAAATTCCATAGGAATGTAAGTATCTCTCTGAAGAATGTACTTTCGGTTTATTTCTTGCTAATTGTTTGCATCTGTTCAGCTTGGTTTGATAACTTCACATATGGATGCTTTGATACAGATAATCTCTCCAACCACCTTGTTTTTGGCTGCAAAAGTGGAAGAGCAACCCCGGAAACTGGAGCATGTGATCAAAGTTGCACATGCTTGCCTAAATCCACAAGAGTCTCCTCTAGACACAAAAAGTAATGTAAGTGTGGGTATTATAAGGTGGTATATTTTCTCTTCTTCTTCAGTTGTCTCTGTGGCCATGGTTTCTATGTGTATAGGGCTGGCTGTGCCACATTATGACATCCTTTTCAATGGGCTGTAATTCACTTCCTTGACTTACAGTTTGTGTGTACAAACACATGAGCCTACAAAAAATTGGCATTAATACAGAAACAAGCCTGTATTGACTTTTGGGCAATTTGAATAGGGTATAGATTAATAGACTCATTACAGTTGTGTTGTAATGACTGTCTATCAAACTTCAGGCATACCTCCAGCAAGCCCAAGAGCTGGTGATACTTGAATCCATAGTGCTGCAGACCCTGGGTAAGTAATGGTGACTGGAGTGGATGACTTTGTTAATGATAATGATAGTAGCATCTGATTCATGGTTATAGAAAAGGGCTTGTTACTCGATACCTTTGAATCTATTTATCACATCCTGTTGTATAAATTGTTTTATCTTCTACTCTATGACTAGCTTGTCATATTTTAATGAGTTGTGTAAAGGTGGCATGTCATTCTTTTAAAGCTGACTTTAATCATACAATGTAGTATTGATCAGAGTATACAGATTACCTCATCAATCTTTGTAAATGCTGCCTTGACTTTACAGTGGAAACATTGTATTACAAAGACTCGAACAGTTTGTTCTAGGGCTGAACGATTTCAGGAAAAGATCTAAGTGCGATTTTTCTGGCAGATATTGCGATTTTGTTTGGAATCAAGCTTCAGTGCACTATTCACAATGTACAGTAACATTTTCAAACATGACAGAAAATTACATCATACCATTAAAACATGAAATGCCATTATTTTAGTGTAAGAATGAAAAGTAAAGTTAAGAATTGTTTTCAAATGTAGTTATTAAGAAACGTGCATGAACTTTCTATAAAGTCCTTTACCAATGACAGTTGTTACAACTGAACAAAATCACACTCTCTCAATCCCAGTGCAATATTCTCTGGTGTGGTCAGTGGGAAAGTATGCTGTCTGCCGGCAGCAACTTTTCAACTCAAAGTTGTCATTTAAGAAATGCACAGTCTGGCTGAGATACGGCTTGGGTGCTCTGCTTGACCACTTATCAGTAGTTGTCGCATAATAATCCACATTGTTCAGCCCTCTTACCACTTTTTCTTACAGCTCCGCTTACAACTGTGGGACAGCAAACTGACTGAATTAGGTGCTGGAGGGGAACACATATCTTCTGTCCAGCATGCAAAGGAGATTTTTTAATGTGTCTTTGGTGACCATGTTAATGGACACCATGTCCTTGACAATGTGGTGCATTATGGCTGTTGTTACTGCTCGTTGTCATCGGCCACTCTTATATGTCTTTACACTAGCAAAAGATGCAGTTTGGAGGCTATTGTGGGCTTGAGTATCCTTTCTGCTACACTAACCAGACTTTTTCATTATGCACTTGTGATCATTCAATGCCTGTGGTGATGTTTCAAGTGTTGATATAAATTTCTTGTGTTTCTGTTAGATATTGCAACTTTAACATGACAGGTTTTGCACAGTAACTGTTTCTGGTGCACCTCTGCCGCCTTAAACCCAAAATACTCCCAAATGACCAACATGCTATTTTTCTTGGGGATTAAATTCCCAAACTCTGGTTCTGATCAAACTGAAGCCATTTCAGAAATTAAGAAGCAGCTGATTAATTGGTTAGCATGACTTCTCCACGAGCAGCATGCCACTCCTGATTGGTTGACAGGATGGTAAGGGGATGGCATGCAGGCTATGTATGAAATGGTTGACACAACAGATCCCAGGTCAGTCAGAAGCGCTGCAGAAAAATCGTGACTTTGGCGATCGTGTGATCGCGTTTTCTGAAATCGCAATTTCAGCCAGAAAAAAAATTAATCGTTCAGCCCTAGTTTGTACACACGTTTTGGCTGCATTGAATAGATATATATGTCCTCCTTTGTGAAAGTAGTCAATTCCACGTACTATGTACAATTCATGAATGTATTGACCATATTCCGTTGGCCACAATCAATCTGACTCAAATACTTAAACTGGAGGGCTACATCTGCAATTGTGAAATGACATGTCACCTCCCTGGTGTGTCTGTGTTGAACTCACCTGTTATTTATTTTTTTTTTTTTACAGGCTTTGAAATTACTATTGATCACCCACACACAGATGTGGTGAAATGTTCCCAGCTAGTGCGAGGTAGAGGCTTCCTTCTTTGCTCTTTGTGCCCTCTGCTATTGTTTGTCCCACCTCAGATATGGATGGGGAAATGGAGAAAACCTTGCCGTTAAGGGTTTCCTGACCCTTACACTTTGACTTTTTGATCTCCTACTGACTGCATAAAATGACTTTAATTGAAGTATTTGCCTACACTGTTTGGGCCAGGCCAGAGGCCATTAACAAATAAAGTTTTGATTGAAGTCAGCACTAAGACTATGTGTACATTCACACTGCAGCCTGAAGTGACCCAAATCTGATTTTTTAAAAATAATTTTATTTTATTATTTTTTTAGGCCTGGATAGAGCTATCCCTCAATATACAAAAATAACTAATAAATTACGTTTTCTTTCCACCAACTGCTCTCTGTATTATCATCTGCCATTGTTGGTATTTTTCTGTTGCGTAGTAGAATGCAGAACAGTGGTGTTTGTCAAGTATCAATGACACGTAGGCTGGATGAATGCAACCTGGCTGTACAGACTCGGGCAATATTTGAAAAGATCAGATAAGAATTAGATTTGTGACCACATATCCAAGTGGCCGGGACTGCATTTTGAAAAATCCCAAGTGTTTTGTTCATACTGTCATGAAAAGATTGTTAAAAGGTTGCATTAGGCCAGAGAACTTTGATTTGGGTCACTTAAGGCTGCAGTATGAACGTAGCCAATGTTTGAAATGTTGGATCTGGGAATTTTGGTTTCTTTTTCTTTTATACAGTGTTGAATAACTAATAGTACTACCTGAGAGTGTTTGGCCTTAATAACTGTTTTGCATGAGGAGCAAATAAAATGAGAAACTTTCCAAAGTTAGGAGTTGGCACAAATGAGGCAAAGAAGCTAATCTTTGTGTAGTGTCTCATCTGACATATCAGAGATGCTGGCAGGGTTGGACTAATATCTGCTAACTTATTAGTAAGTTTTATTTTACACCCCAGTCTTGGCCTAATCAGTGAATTCCAAATCAGCATAAGAATGATATATAAATGAATGATTTTATTTGTTACATTTTTGTAATTATTTTCTGTCCATCTTTTTTTTTCTCTATTTTACAGCAAGCAAGGATCTGGCACAGACTTCCTATTTCATGGCTACCAACAGGTTGTTATCCTGTCCCTCCTTTGTTGCACTTTGACTGCACACCATAGCTTCCTGTAATGCAGGGTACCCTTTCGGTGTCCAACGGGCCCTACTTGCGCTGGCGGTTGTGGGGACGCTTGCCTCCTCCCCAAGCTCCCCTCACTTTCTCTGAGGTAGCGGGACATGGTGGCTTGTAGCGTTACCGGCCCCAGTTGCAGTGCGGTGTATTGTACAAGGGACCATGTGTTGGCACAGATGGGTTGAATGCAAGATGTGAAGTGTAGTGGTGCGCTTGAAACCCACGTGTTTGTTCAGTTGCGAAAAGTGCATAAATCTAAAAGAAAGACACTTGGTAGCCTGAATAGCAGCTAAAGATTTCACAGATGTAAACATTTCTCGTAGAGGTACCTCTGGTAAGTACTGCAGATACATTTTTAAGTATGCTTTTTAATCTTACTTGTTTTCTTTGCATTATTTTTCCTAGATGTGTTTTTAGCTCTTGTCATATTTGTTTTTGATTAAACTCATAATGCTAACATTCTTTTCACATAATTTACTCTTCAACGTTTAAGAAGTGCACAACTAACCCATTAAGGACCTACTGATGTAAAGGTTTTACCTGAAGCAGGATTGGCACACTTCAGTTATGCCATGTCATGATGGCTTTAGTTTCCATTACAGTCTCAGAGCAAGGGATTGGCGGTAGAGTTTTTGTGTGCTCTGTTCTGATCATAGTTTATATTTATCTGACTCCATGTGAACACATAATTCTATCTGAATGAGCACAACAGTTTTACTACACTTTTCATCAACAAACTTACTAAAATACAACAATTTACAGATCTACTTACCAGATTTTAACATCACTTTCAACAAAGCATATTTATGACCTTGGAATGGTCAATATTAAGACATTAGACAAGAAGCAGTGGCTGGGCACTGATTTTAAATAACAGGGCTGTCTTAAAAATGGCATTCATTGTTTTTCCCATAATTACTTCTTCTGAGCCTTTACAAGGTCCTGTACAAGCCCCTTGAGTGAAATTAGACTTCAGTGAGATTTGATATGAAGTCTGTGAAGTTGTATTTAAGTTTGCTGCTGAAGCTGACCAAACTTTTCTTCTGTGGTTACTAAATATAGTCATTTGTAGTTTTGGACTCTGGCAACATTTTCGTGGCTATCCTATGTTACTGTGTTGTACTTATTTGGTTTGACTGTTAGGGCCTCAATCAGAGGGGGCGCTTTTCTTGCATGAAGGGAAATCCTCTGATTAAAGTGGAACACTGGCCCCTATCATTAAAAAAAACAAAAAAAAAACAAGTTGCGTTTTAAAACGATTCCTTAAAAATGCCAGTGTTCGGTCAATTTCATGACATGCTAAAATCATACCCCCTGCTTTGGGTAATCCAAAATCAAAATGTCTTTGGTGCTCTTTGAATAGTTCTAAAACGAGAGTAAAATATCCATATTTTCTGTAGTCAGATTGACTAAAGAGAAGGTTCAAACACAGCCTAAAGTAGTTGGAAGTGAGCCTGTGCCTATTTTTGGGAAACGTGTTGGAAGAAAACATTGACTATACTATCTTATTGACATGTGAGCTTTGTCCAGTGAAGGAACAGCCTTCTTGTTTCACTGATCTTGTAAGAGAGATAAACAAAAGGGCCTATTTGAGACTAGAAAAATGACTAAGTATATATATTTTTACCATGTGAATTTGTAATAAGATTTTCAACAGTGAAAATCCTGTAATCACAGTTGAAATCACCCTGTGTATATATGTTTGGATTAAAGGGTTACTTTAAATCTTAAATCTAAAGTCGTTTTGCCCATAGGAGGTTAGCGCATTTATCTGTTTATCAGAGTTAATCTGTTTTCACCAGAGATGAGCTTTTCTCTCCCTTCTTTTGAGAAACCAGATCTTTGAAATGTTGTAACTACTTTCTTGTGTTTCTCAGCCATGATTAAATGGAACATATCAAATGGCCTTTTAAGCTAATAATACCCTTTGTTTTATTTGAAAACAAATTGTGGTACTCATTATACTCCTTGATTTAAAGGTTATTTAAGTTTCATTTGGACACTGCTCAGGTCTGCACAGATATTGTTGTTAGGGAACCCCTTTGTAAGATAACCTTACAATACTGTAACTTTCCCGTGGATGGCTTCAGTGTGTTTTACAATTGGTAGATTTTGTATTACCTTTATAAACGCCCACCTCCTGTTACATTCACATTTCATATCTCTGCAGTCACAGCATCAGGGTTAGTTATTAGTTAATTAACATTAACTGTGTTGAACTATAGATGTTTTTTTTAAGAAGAAAAAGTATCTAACATTGTTAACTACTTCACTATCAAAATTAGATGAATATAAATGATAATGCTGCATTCTTACAATTCATGCCAGCAGCATACTTAAACTGTCTGCTCCCTCTTGTCTTTTGTTTTTCTCTTTTTTCCGGCATGTTGGATGGATCTTCACCATCTTTGATCTGAATTTCTGCTGCATGCCCTTACACACTGAAGTCTACACCTCACTACCTTCTGCCTCCAACACAAGCCAACAGTGATTGCCTGTGTCTGCATACATTTGGCCTGTAAATGGTCAAACTGGGAAATTCCAGTTTCTACTGATGGGAAACATTGGTGGGAATATGTGGACAGCTCTGTCACTCTGGAGCTTCTTGATGGTAAGATTATATTTTCCCTTATTATAACATATATATGTTTTTTCATATTAAAAGAACGAAAACCAATACTTGTAAATGTGTAGAACTTACCAACTGTTGAATGAGATTAGTTTGTTTGATGGGATTTATCTTTCACCTTCAGAGTTGACCCATGAGTTTCTGCAGATTCTGGAGAAGACTCCTAGTCGGTTGAAGAGGATACGCAACTGGAGGGTAAGATTCATGCTGCTGTGTTTCATTTCAGATGCTTTTTTAATATTTTATCATTGTGAACTCTTTTTAAATCTCAGAAAAATACAAGTAGCTAGAAAACAAGAATGCCACTACAATTATCGCTTAACTATGGAATATGAGAGGTCAAATTTTCTAGTTTCCAATCAACAAAAAAAAAAAAGTTTAATGTCTATATTAATGTCTATGTCTCTGTTAATGTCTATTTCTCCCTTACTGCCTGTGTCCTTCTAAATCTCTTTGGATAAAAGTGTCTTCTAAATACATTAGCAGTCTTCATAACTTGGACTCCATATCATATGCATAGTTGAATAAGCTGGCAGGTGTTACAGTGTTAAAATTGTACTTTGTGCAGTAGTACATGATTGAAGAGGAAATCTATGAATTTATTGCTTTAAACCTTTTTAATCACCTGAAAAATCTTTCTGCTCTCAAGGCAACACAAGCTGCCAAAAAACCCAAGACAGAGAACGCCCAGATGACGGACAACTCATTTGCTGGGCCATCAATGCTCCATGATCAAGGCGATGCTTCAATTTCCGGAATCGCTTCTTCCAACTCAAGTTTTTCCAAAGCAGGTGCTGCCTTCTCTGTGTCCATGCCTGGCCATTCCAGAGGAACAACTCTTTCTCTGGACCCCATGGCACCCACATTTAATCCAGCTAGCCACAGTCAATGGCCAGAAAACAACCAGAGCCAAACAGGGTACACCTGTGTAAAGCAGGAACCGGTCAGTATCCCTCTCCAAGAAAGCTTGCTTTCTTTGCCAACACCGACTTCTTCTTTGCTTCAGCATCCAACAGCTTACAGGACTGAAAAAATGGTAGACATCAACCTTGTCAAACAAGAAAATAAAGGAGCTGGTGGAAGTGGAATGGTGAAGCATCAGCCACCTCCTCAGCCTGCCTACCCTCCACCAGCACAGCCTCTTCCACCACAACCTTCTCCAGCTCAAAAGCTTTCTCTTGATAAATACAGAGAGAAACACTCTGCAGACTTGACTCTTCCTGTGCAGAAACGTAGGCAGGAGCAACATGGTGGGGTAATGGACTGTGACTTGAGAGGGGACATCACATCCTCTTCTACCTATGCACCATCTGCCATTGGCCAAGTAGATTATCGAAAACATGCACAGCCTCACCAAATCTCCTACGGAGGTGAAAGCACCACAACCTCTCCAGTGAAAATGAAAGGCCCTACTTCCTCAGCCTCAGGACTAGATAGACGTCATAATGCTGACAAACGGGACAAAGGCTCTCTAAAGTTTCGTCTGGCAGTTCCTGGTTCCACTTCACAGTTAGAAAAAATTGGACAACCAAGCAAAGACGAGCTTAAGATGAAGATAAAAGTTTCATCTTCCGAGCGTCATAGCTCCTCCGATGAAGGCATGTCTACGAACAACAACAAAAGTAAACATTCCATCCCACTGGTGAGCAAGGAGAAGCAACACCGTGGAGCGGAGCACAACCCCCATCGTCCCCATAAACACAGTCACCCCCACACATACAGTGGAAACGGTCGAGGGGGCGCAGAGGGCCCAGGGGCAGTAGGCCTACTGCGCGGTCCTCCTGGACAGGTCATCATGGACGGAACAACAATTGGTCATCTTGCATCCACCTCTTTGACTTCATCCTCATCGCGCAAGAGGGCGTTCCCTGAGGCCGGCCACAACCACCACCCCTCATCCTCCTCAAGCTCCAAAGTGAGCAAAATCTCCAAAGGTGGCACTGGTGCTGCAGGTACTTCATCTTTTTGTCCCCACTCTTTTCCCCTTTGCTCCTCTCCCATACTGCAGTGTGTCTCATCTGGCTTGCAGCTCTATTGCTAACCTCCCTCCCACTTTCCTCCTTCTCTTCCTCCCCCTTATTCTTGTTTCTTCTCCTCCTCCCCTCCTGTCACACCCAGGTGTGCTGCGGACCTCTCAGCCGTTCCCTTCTAGTGAATCGGCACAAGAAGTGGGAGAGCAGAGACATTGAGTCCTCCACTCTGCAGCCATGGCCAGGACATGGAACGGCAACAAACTACCCCCAGCTCAGACTTTGACTTTGCTCACCTCCTTGTCAAGTGCCCTAGGAAAATAATTATTTGACGATAAACCCTTTACTGAAAGGAAGGAAAACTTATCTGCAAAAAAGAAAAAAAAAGTATTGTTGGACTTCTCAATTTCTGCAACAAGAGAGATAAGTAATTATGCTTCCTGATTGTCAAATTTCTGGGCTATGATACTCAGTGTGGTCTGTTTGTCAAATTGCTGCTTGGTTATTCTTTCTCCTCATATGGGCTTAGCAAAGTACAAATGTGGATGTGTGTGAGGCTTCTCAATCAAGGGGAATCGTCCCTTCCTTACGTTGGATCTCTACATGGGATAACGAGTATTACAAGTTCATAAAAGCATGGATGGTGCACTTTGTTCATTTTCACTTTTTTTTTAAACAAGTAATTTAATTGAATCACTTTTCAGTGATTGTATGGAGGAAGCTGGTGGCGAACTGGAGATGAGTTATGTTTATGTTTGCTGGCATTCCATTTAAACTGTTGATGGATGCAGTTTTTTTTTTGTAAAGTTTCATCTCCCAAATTACTTTCTTGTCTTGGGTTTCTTTTTTACACTTAAATACTGTGCATTTGATTTACATATTTCAATCATCAAAGGGATTTAAAAGGAGAGCGCTAACTTGCTGTTTACAGAAAAAAGGAGATAAAAGTATATACATTTTTGTATGTTTAAAGAAAAAGCTATACCATGACTACTCAGGTTTGGAGCTGCTTGTATCTATAACAAGATAACTATTAATTCCTTTTATTTTGGTCTTGGGTGGGTATGGCATAAGGTGATCGATTGCAGAATTTTAGTGGTTTGTGCTTCTTATAGACTTGTTGTAAATGGTGATGGATTGTCATTTCCACCACTAGAGATAACGGTTAATTTCCCTGCAACTGACACATTCAAAACACACTTTTCACAGTTATCAGATTGATACAGTTTGTACCAAAAACCACTTTTGATGTCTAAGTAGATCTTGAGCTGAATGCCAAAGGTTGGTCTTCAATATGAAAAAAAAAAAAAAGAATGGTTGAAGTGGGCTATTAAAGTTTACATATCCTTCTTCACTTCTAGGTATATCAGACATCACTCTAATTTATGCTGTAGTCTCAGCCCTTCAAAAAGACATTGGTCTTAATTCATTAAATCATTAACATTGATTGAAAGGGGAACAAACATGTCCTTTTCCCATCTTGATGAGCATTTTCAAAGTAGAAAACTGATGAGGCCTATGCAAGCCCACACCCCCATGCATCTGTCAGGACATGGCTTTACCATCACTTTCATCATATGTTCTAATATGACCCAATTTTCTATGTTCTGTAGTTGTGTTAGTGTGCTAAGAAATTTAACAAGGGACCAGCTGGATTGTTTGAATCACATATAGGCACAGAACATCTGCAATTGTAGAGAAATTAACGTAAGCCACATCCTACCAGTTAACATTTCAATAACACAAATAAACTTCAGAATTGCCACAACACTGAAATTGTATATCTTGTCATTTTATTTAATATACTGTAATTACCCTCCATGTTATGGTAGGACTGAACTGATTTTATCCATAGCTATATCTAGTCAGTGGCTTCTAATCAAAACTTGTTTGAAAAGGATTTTTTTTTTGTAGGGCTAATTGCAAAGTGACTATGATTCATGGAAGACTATGCTGCTCACAGTCTTTTTGTTAGACTGAACTAAACTTCATCATTAAGGTATATGTTAACATTGCATTACTAAATGTACGTTACTGAGCATATCCATTACAATCTGTCACTCAATTCTAAATGTTCACATCATTTATGGTGTATTGTACAATTTGAAGGGAGTAAAAATTTTCTTTCAAATTTAATATTAATCATGTCAACACATTCTCCTCACTCTTGATATAGTACTCTTGACATGCATGTTCGGATCATACTATTCCCTGTTGGGTTACAAAAAAGAAGGCTTAGAAGAAGCAACATAATTTAAATAATTAAATTTCCTGTTCAATTTATGAACATCTTTTGGCTCAAAATGTACAGCCTTTTCTGGTTCTAATGAAACGTCTTAAAGTAGATTTCCTTAGTTCATGTTTGTTTTTTTCAGGATGAATGAATGCTTCAGCAGCTGGTTAGCAGTTGGCAGTTGTATCTGGTCTCGAGTCGAGAGAAAATGAGTAAAATTTTAAAAGCTTGAATAAGAAAGTTAGTGGTCAGTTTTAAACTTTTGGAAAATAGTTTTTGATGTCATCAACCCTTTTTGAGCTCCAACGTAGAACAAGAGCCATTTTATCCATGTTTCCAGGTAGTGGTTTTTCTGTGGCCATTTCAAAGATTTTGCAGCCCACGCTCACTATATCTGACTTCTGAACCTGAAGTCAGTGGTCATGTTTAAAAACACTGCTAGTAAAATTAAATTTGAATTAATTTAATTTAATTAATTAAAACTGGTGCCTTCCCGTAAGGTGTTCCATGGACAGCATTTCTCCACTGTTACAACCTGTGTTATTTAAACAACTGAGACGTTGTGCACAGCCAAAGTCTATGAGTCTTTTTTTTTTTTTTCCCCTTGTCGTGTTTGGCATTATGGCAACAGAATTGTAATCCGAGTGCCGTGCATTGCCCGACACTTGCTTTGCCAAGGGAGGCCTGTCAGGGTGAGAACCCTCCCTTGATCATCCAATACTGCTTTATTATTTATTTAAGATTTATTTTTGTTACATAAGTAATATGGCTAATGCCAAACATGACCGGGGGACAGGAAAGGAAAAAAAAAGAGATTCCTAAAACAGGAAGAGAGGAGAGAAAAAAAGGAAAGAGAGACAACAAAACCATCCATCCAGCTGCTGTATCTGTAAAAAGATGTCCTGTGGTCACCGTGGGCAAACCCAAGGGAGAACCTGCAAACAAACACTAACAAAAACAAACAGCAAAATAATACTGCAGACAAACCCGGGGGAGAACCTGTAGAAGCACCTGCAAGCAGACACAAGAAAGAGACACACACAAAAGTCTATGAGCTTGATGACACCAGTTGGCACGAACATGACATTGTTTCCCTCTATATCCCGGTGAATCACCCTGTTCAAGTGAAGGTAGGTTACCCCTTCAAGGATCTGATGAGTGTAGAGCCAGGGCTCGCTCAGGCAGTGTGCCAAACCTAAGTGCGGTAGAGAACTATATATTGAAGGCACCTAAGGGGCATTTATCAATTTAGACACCAATTAGAGTTTCTTATTCAAGAGAAGGTTCATAGATACATTGGTCAAACAACTTTTACCTGTGAAGGATGCTAGCAATAGAGCCTCCTGTGATGAACTTCATGAAGATGAAAACAACATGATGATTAAGTGAAGTCCCCCAGGAAGCCAACAATGTTGATGTGTTGAAGAGAGTCTGTCTGATTTTATCAATAACTTTAAGATTATTTTTTTATTCATTGTAATTTGAATTATTGCCACTTTTATGTGAAAGTGCTTTGAATTACTTTTCTTTGAGCTCACTTTTCATGTTGATTCTCTCTTGTGTATGACTGCAGTTTTTCTCCTTGTCAAGTTTGAATCCTTGAATAGATGCATATAATTGATTCTTGACTGAACTTCAACATCCATCTTTGTTTCCCTAGAAAAATCTGCTTCCAAAGACTTCAAATCCGTTGAATGATGAACAGATCGTTCCTCAGAGACCTTGAGTTTTCTCTCTTCACTACATCTACCATGGACGTACCTGTCATTATCCTCATTCTGCTCAATGGATATATGGCTGCTTATTCTGGACCCACTTTCCTCTCTCCAAGTTTTCATGGGGGTAGGGTACAGTGGCTGCCCCGCAGCTTGCCCTTGCTCTCCTTGGTGCTGATGCCAACAGGGCTCTGACTAATGGGTTTTAGTGGCGCACCATGTTTAAACACTGGCCATAATATGTTTTCTCTGGGCCGGCCTTCCAAGGGTGCCAAGACTTTTGGTGTAAGAGGGTGAAAATCTGGCAAGAGACCCTGTAAATAGGCAGATAACCTCTGATTCAGCATTTTTTATCAAAGTTACAAATCAAATCATACTTAAGATAATTCTATAATATGTATTCTCTAACATGTATTTAAAAATGTATTCTTCGACAGGTATCAGTTGAAAAAAAATCCATCAGTAAAATTAAATTGTGATTTATTTTTTATTAGTTTTTTGTTCTATATTTAGAAGTTTTTTCAGAGAATAAAGTGTCCTAATGCAAATAGAATGGTGGCAGTGAAATCTCAAATAAAGTCAAACAAGTTAACTTAATTTAGATACTGAAAGTCTGAGTAATAAGCGAACAAAGAAAACGCTTTTTAACATCCACCCTAACTGTAAGCTATTCTAAAAGCCTATTTGTATATGTATACGGTATGTGAAACATGCAATTATGCCTTCATTAATTTACTTAATTACTTTTCATCATTTCGGGGGCACGGTGGTGTGGTGGTTAGCACTGTCGCCTCCCAGCAAGAGGGTTCTGGGTTTGAATCCCAGGGGAACCAGAACCTTTCTGGGTGGAGTTTGCATGTTCTCCCTGTGTCTGCGTGGGTTCTCTCCGGGTTCTCCGGCTTCCTCCCACAGTCCAAAAACCTTCATGTTAGGTTGATTGGAGATTGGGGAAATTGCCCTTAGGAGTGAATGTGTGTGTGAGTGGTTGTTTGTCCTTGTATGTCCTGTGTGTGGCCCTGCGATGGACTGGCGGACTGTCCAGGGTGTACCCTGCCTCTTGCCCGTTGACCACTGGGATAGGCTCCAGTTATCCCCGCGACCCCATCAGGGAACAAGCGGTATTGATAATGGATGGATGGATGGACTTTTCATCATAGTAAATTGACTTTTTATGAACATATCACATTTTTATGATTCTGTTAATAATATTTGTTCAGGTTCTGGCTTTTTCTCCTGCCCAGTCCCGTATCTCTCAGCCCTCTTGCTTTTAAAGATGATGCAATCACATGGGCTGTTTGGGAAGCTGACCTTTATGTTTCTACAGTACAGGTCCTCTGTGATTGAAACTGAAAAAAATCACAATGGAAGATTTGCTTAATTCTTCCAAATAGTTTCCAATTCTTGCTTGACAGAGGATGAAAACTTTACCCTTTGTAAATATTCTGTGTTTTCGTTTGATGAAACTTAATGTAGAAAAAAAACAAGTTACGGTAGAAATTGGCAAATGAGCACTCAAATGCATTATGGTAATATTTATGTTTATGCATTTATCAGATGCTTTTATCCAAAGCGGCTTACATAATGAAATTCAGATTTAATGAAAGCATCTACAGTGAAGTGGGGCTCTTTTGAGGTTGTCCTTTTGTTAGATTCGGTTCTTTAGTTGGAAGCCTGAGAATAAACCAGAGTAGATCAAGAGTACAAATATGACATTTATTGGTCACAAGCAAAGTATATCAGCGCTGGGCTCTCACAGACAAAGCTCCCGGAGGATCTCAGTCGGCAAGAGCCACGATTTCCGGTTACGATGGGCAGTTATCTTCTGGGCTGGGCCTCGAAAAGGGGAGGACGGCTGGGCGTAACCGAGTGTTATTGGCCAGTTAGTTCGGTCATGTGAAGGCCAGAGGCTCTTAATTCATGCAAGTTTCAGTGAAATATGATAAGAAAATGTGGGTGTGTATGTTGACCTTGAAGACGTGTATCTACTGTAACAGAGAGATGGGGAGGAGAAGGAGGCACAGCCAGAAAGTTTAACCCAAAAGAATAACTCTAAAGGGAATAATATGAATCTAAAAGGAATAATACAATCTGTCATTAGATGAATTAAGTTGCAGCATGCTATGCTAAAGTAAGTCATTATAGCCCAATTCTAACACTTGTCACAAGAAAACTCTCACATGTATTAAACGTGAGACTCTCTGGGTGGATATCCATCCATCCATCCATTCTCCACCGCTTATACGGAGTTGGGTCGCAGGGGCAGCAGCCGAAGCAGGGAAACCCAGACTACAGGGCCGTGGAGCCCATGTTTAGAATATAGAGAAAATAGCAGGGTGGTTGATCGTGTCAAACGCTGCCAGTAGATCAAGCAGGATGAGCACAAAAGATTATCCTGCAGCTTGAGGAGATTGTAACTCCTCATCATCAAATGCCACTATTGCCTTCTATCACAGCTGGAGGCCGGTCCTATACTACGTACACTCCATTCTCACTTCAGGCCGAGATTACCAGTTCATGATCTAAACTGGAGACAGGTTTTTTATACTCAATAAGTCACTCCCACTATCAGTGAAAACCATATCTGTTGTTTGCATCTAGGAAATAACAGAAGAGTTGCCTCTCTCCAGACCTGTCCCATGCACTTGGATTTCTCTTTAGTTTGATCATTTGTTTTTGCTGTCACCGTTTTGTCTCGTAAACTTGTTGGACAGAGACATTTTGTGGTCTCTAAATGTTTCCCTGTTTATGGCCCCCACTATGTTGACATTACTTTCCCGGATGGGTCTGTGCACAGATGTGCAACACTGCGAAATGCCTTTCCCAACTGACACAGATAACAAAATATACTGGTGACCTTGTGACCCAGATAGCAGGAATTTGGTGGTGAGCGCTGGGTGATTTCCCTTACTCCCCTAATCTCTCTGACATCTTGATGTAGATGAAAAGAACGGCTTTGTGAACGCAGTTTCTTTTTCAAAAGGGGGAGAGTAGGAAGTACAAACAGAAAAGTGCTGATGTACTTGGCTTCCCTCATCATTTAACCCTCTTTTGTGGACACAGCCACAATTAATTTCAGATCACTAACTACTTTTTTATCATTACCAGGTGAGAATCAAAAGAAAGTGTGTAACAATAAAATAACATTGTGATGACGTGTCTCTTAACAAGTTACAGCTTAACAACCCATCAAAGCTCAGGACAACACATCTCCTGTCGGAGCAATCAGAACTGGATTCTGAGGAAAATAAAGAAGCTTGGTTTGTCCACCCCCAGGAAGAAAATAAGTAAATCAAGTTGCAAGAGACTACAATATAGAATGAGAAGATAAAAGTTGACGGAAAACAGGACTAAACATCTGGATCCAAAGCACAAAATAAATACTTTTTTTCACTACATTTGTAAAACCGGCTCTTAATAGTGAAGCAGTGAAAATAAAAGATTGTTATGGTTGCCTCTTTCAAGTCTTATCTCATCAGGTCCATAATGCTTTAAAATCTGTCTTGAGACATGTCTGCGGTGTGCACAATTTCATTGTTGAGTCATTACTTTACGTATCCAGTAGATGGCAATGTTTAGCCACTTAAGCTCCCTTAAAGCCTGGCAGAACACTCAATTATATACCGTGCGCCCGCAGAGGTTACAGTCCATGCTGCCGATTGGCACTATAGAAAAGGATTTATGACGCATTAATGTTATAATCTAAACAGGAAATATAATACGGAATATGATATTGTTTAAGCAGATTTTCGAAGGGTTTCATTTTCCACCTATCGCTTCGTGCGCTCTAATGTCTAAATTAACCGGTGAAATAGTGTGGCTCGGCGCCTCCCCTTTCTCTCCCTCTCTCCCTATCTCTCTATGAAGCATCGGGTCCAGCCTGTTTCCCCGCCCCTCACCCCGCTGTCTTGTCCTCACGCAGCTCCACCGATCCCAGGCTGGCGCGTCCCACAGCGCACGGCAGTCTTTTAAACACTGCACACTTTTCATGCGTTCCCTCCCAATCTCGGCACGTTTCTTTGGAAGAATAGCCCAAACTTCATGACTCAGTATGTGGCATGTCGGGATGACATACGATCGGTGACAGGAAGCCTCGGGGGAGTTAAAGCGCAAGCAGGAGCAAGGAATAGGAGTAGAGTATTCCCCCACCCACCCGAGCTTAAGGTGATACTGTAGATGTCTGATTAACTCGAAACGGCAGTGACTTTATGATGTGTGCCGCTTGTTTTTGAGCTCTGGCCGGATCTCTATACCTTTCTCCTCAAAACTTCAGTCACCGCATCGTTTGGGAGCGACAGGACGGGCCCTCACCCCGGGTCGACAATGCAGAAACAGGCTCTCCTGTGGTTCATGATAGGTGAGTCTCACACACTTACAATAGGTGTGAAATATGCATGACTTTTTGAGTTTTGTTTTGGGAAAACATCCTGGGGGACAACGTCTGGACGAAGCTGAAAGGAAACAAGCGTTAAACAAATATGCTTGAATGTTTTCCAATTTAGGAGCGTTTCAATACAGTCATAACCATAATTACAATAACAATGGTTATTCAATTTCTAATACTTCAGGGAGCTGATGGCCAGAGAGGAACTTGTCTACTATCGAAGTTGTGCAGTTTTGGACAGCTGTGATAATGGATGAAAACTATATTATGCCACAGTATCAGCTTGTGTAGTGTATGTGTCTATGTGTAAAAATGAATGACACCATGAAGTAGGTACCT